TGACCTCCTCCCTGGGGGACAGACAACAGAAAAGTGGATGATGGGAGATGTCGGACAGGGCAAGATATGACAAAATAATAATTTATAAATTATCAAGGGTTCATGAGGGAGGGAAGAGCGGGGAGGGAGGGGAAAAGTGAGGAGTAGATGCCAGGGGCTTAAGTGGAGAGCAAATGTTTTGAGAATGATGAAGGCAATGAATGTACAAATGTGCTATCCACAATTGATGTATGTATGGATTGTGATAAGAGTTGCATGAGGCCCTAATAAAATGATTGAAAAAATAAATAAATAAATAAGAAACATTCAGGAACAATTAAAAAAAAACCTTCATGCAGCGGTTCTCATGTGGGTCGCGACCACTTTAGGGTCAAATGACCCTTTCACGGGGGTCACTCAATTTGTCATGGTAGCAAAATGACAGTGATGAAGTAGCCACAAACATAATTTTATGGTTGGGGGGGTCACCACCACATGAGGAACTGTATGAAAGGGTCACGGCATGAGGAAGGTTGAGAACCACTGCCTTAATAGAATACCAGCTTCATCTTTCTCCTGAGGAGCCGCTGGTGAGTTTGAACTGTAGCCCAGGGCTTACACCACAGCACCGGTGGGGCCAAAAGACCGCTGAGCTACAGCCACAGCCGGGGGGACACGGAGGGGCCTGTAGCTCTCCCTGAGGCCCACAGGGAAGTGTGCTTCGTCAGCCTCCCATCTCTCGGGAACGACTTCACCCAAAGTAACCGTGAGAACAACTGAACACAGAAATGACAGTGGTGACTTTCCTGTGGTTTCCCTACTCTCTTAGTTGCAAGAATAAGAATACAATCTCTTATTGTAAGGGCAGATTAAATAAATACCAAAAATTGTGTCCAATAAAGTCTAGTTTGTGGTTTTTTTTGCTCAAAACTCTAACACCTCTAAAACATAACATTACAATAGTTAGATGACTGTCTGATTGTGGGATGGCTCTCACAGGAAACATCACTGTGCCCACCCCACCACTGCCTTGTATCACCAGTTCTGCCCTAGGATGGGAGGCACTGGGTCAGTCCTGGCGGGCGGCCAGGACCTCGTCAACTCACCTGAATGTGCATGGCGCCCTCTACTGCCGTCTGCAAGTCAGGGCAGCCGCTGATGAGGGACAGCTGCTCCTGCGCCCCCAGAGAGCCTTTCAGGGCCCCCGACTGCTCCAGCAACTCCATCTCCTTCCTGGGAAAAGGCAGAGAGGGATGGCTGTAAGTCTTCACAGACAAATTCAAAATTCATGCCCCCACTGGTTTTCCCCATCGTCCTTCCTTCAGTTCCCGGAAGGAAAGCATGGTGCACAGACCAAGGTCGGGCTGTGAAAACCAACGCTCCAGATTACTCGTCCCTCTGGAGGAATCGCCTCCGAGCAGCTGCTGCCGGCGGCTTTGGCCCAGGACTCTCTCCCCTCTGGATTTGTGCTCCCAGATTTGACCTCTGAGAAGTTCTATAAGTCTGCCACATCAGGTGTGCATTTAAAACAAAGAACGTTTAATTATACATTGAATGAATACTTTTGGAGGCGGAAAAGGTTTAAGGGGCACCTACTTTGCCATATATAGGAGCCCTGGTGGTGAAGTGGTTAGGAGTTGAGAGGGTAACTATAATGTTAGCAGTTCAAAACCACCAAATGCTCCTGGGGAAAAAGACAAGGCTTCTGTCCCCCTCAGGAGTGAGTCTTGGAAACCCACAGGGTCACTCGGAGTCGGATTGACCCGATGGCAGTAAGTTCAGTTTGGGGTACTTCTCCATGGAAGGAGTCTTGATGGCATCGTGGGGTTCCCATTGGCCTTCTCACCAAGTTAGAAACCCACCCCTACCTTCTCGGGAGAAAGATGGGGTTCTCTGCTCCTGTAAAAAACGTACAGCCTTTGAAACCCACAGGAAGAGTCCTCTGTCTTTTGAGGTCACTATGAGATGGAATCGACTAGAAGGCCGTGAGAGAGAATTCACCAGGCTGCCAGAAACTGAACGATAGACCGCTTCTTTAAAGTCTAACACGACCCTGTCTTTTGACGTTTTCTGTTAGACCACGTTCAACTGGAGTCACTCTTCCTTCCTCTTTCTAAACCACATTGCCTCTCATTTAGGAAAAAAGAAAGGAAAAGTCTTCAAAAGATGGATTGGCCATCAGAGGATCATCTACACAAGGTTTGGCTTAAGTTCTGAAGACACAAGGGACTCAATCATGCTAGAGATTAGAGACCAAGGACCTTGCACCCATTTGCTCTTTGAGGCATGTTGTGAAGGGCTTAGTCCCGGCCCTTGTACTTAAAGACTACAGGCCAAGACGAGACCACTTTCCCTTTGAAGAGCCTCCACGGACCTACCAAACCCGCCAACTCCTCCCAGGGATTCATCACCAGTAGGCTTGCCATGTGGGCACTAGGGAAGCTGAATGCCATGGCTACAATGAGTGAGCCAAGATGGGACGTTGAACCCAAAGCAGGTCTCTCTCCCCAGGCTGCCCTGTGGTTTGCCTCGAGAGAACAGTCCAATTGCCAATCGCATCAGCTCATCCCTCTTCAGCAGTCGGAAATGGAAACCCTCAAAGTCAACCTGAGAGAGCAGGGGAAGCCACAGAAGTAGAGGCAAGTCAGTACCCGGTGGCTTCTTAAAAGGCAGGGCCGTAAACAACAACAAACCTTCTTCAGAAACAACTCCTTCCAGAACTGCCGAGAGCAGGGCTGTTGTCTGACTCTCGCAGGCTCTGCTGTGCCTGAACAGTGGCCGTGTTTCCGCAGCAGAGATGGAGCTGCAGAGGCGGCTTCCTGGATCTCTTGCTGCCAGAGCCTCACAACAGACCCCCACCGGCTGAGGTCATCTAAGAACTTCTCCCCTTATAACCTAAAATGGCCTCGCCCCTACTTTGTTGAAAAGACAGATGGGCTTGTTGGCAGCAAGAAATTATAGTACATCTTAATTACTCCATTTAGGGAGTGTGAGGAGACTTTTAGACCTTTGTGGGGGGAACTGATTACCTTTGAATTCCACTTTTCCACAAACATTTTGAAGCCCCTTCATAGGCAAGTCATATGAATTAGACCTACAACAAAAACAAATCCTAGGAGCTAGCAATATGACGAATTTACCTGCACTGCCTATGAACCTAACTAGGATTAAAATGCTCATGGTTCGTAAGAGCTACTAAAAAAAAACAAAAACTCTCGTTAAACGAGAAGATCCGTGGTGGTGTAGTGGTTCTACATTGGGCCGCGATCTGCAGGGTCAGCAGTTCAAAACTCACCCACCGCTTCATAGAGGATGGAGCTGTCTGCTGAACACACTGCTGACACTCTCGGAAACTCGCCGGGCGGTTCAATCCTGTCCTACAGGTTCACGGTGAGCTGGCATCAACTCACAGGCAGTGAGTTGGTATGTGATCAATTTAACATCGTGTCCCCATTCTTTTTCAATAACTAGTTTCAAGAACGAGTGCTATTCAAGAACTATATTTCCACAATTTATATTTTACAAAGTAGAAAGACTAAAACATCACTGTATTTCTACCACCCATAATTTATAGCCACCAAATTTGCTTCTTCCTTTTAATAAAAAATTAAACACGCACATACTTTTCGACACACATACACACATGCATACACACACTTTACAACCATCTATCTAAGAGTTTTTTGTTTTTTTAATCCCGAAGCTGGATGACATAATAATGAACCATTTCATCCTTTAGAGAATTATGCCTGCGTACCTAGTGTATCAAAAAGCACCTGCGTCAATCTTTAAGAGGCCACCTGTGTCACTTCAAAATGTAACATGCATCCAAAGCAAACATTTGGATTTTCTCCCCAAAATGCTACTAAGTCAGACTGGATAAAATCTACCAGAGGACAAGAGGCTGCCTTGTCCCTTTGATGAACCGCTGTTTTTTCTGACTGCTCCCGTCATCATCCTCCCTATGGGCCAGAGGAAGGAGACAGAAAGAGGACCGGGCGGGGCCACAAGCCATGGCCCCTTCTCGAGATAAAGAACCCACACACTCAACGCCGCCTCGAAGTCCTTGTCCTGGGCAGGACACAGAACAAGCAGACTCAAGGATTAACACAAGTTGACCTTGGAGATGGCTGGAGACCCCAGGCCCTGGCTGTGTTGGTCTTCCTCCAGGGAAACCAGGTGAAAAGCCTGAAGGACCTTCCAGGCATCTCCAGACAGATCCCTGGGCCCTGTCCAAGTTCAGCCAATGATCTATATGCAACAAAGCAAATCGAGCTGCCTGACAAAGCGTTGTCCCCATTAGCTTGTCATCTCGAGCCAGTTCTGACTCATAGCAGTCCAATAAGGCAGAGGAGAACTCCGCAGAGGGTTTCCAGGGCTGTGATGCTTGAGGGAGCAGCTTCAAAGAAACATCTCACTCCCACGGAGCGGCTGGTGGGTCCCAGCTGCCAGCCTGACAGGGGCGGTCAAGCATTTGTCCCGCGCGCGGACTCACTCCAGTCATTGTGATGACTTTCAAAGAACGGGCTCAAGCTTTGTAGAAGAATATGCCCAACACCTGGAGGAACTGTACCATCACCAGATTTCCAAAAAGCCTTGCACAAGGAAGCATTTTGCAGCTCTGCATGAATTAGACCGTTTGATGGAGCCGGTTAGTGATGAACAGGCGGGCGGAGCGGTTCCAGTTTGGTCTGCAGGGAGAAAGCCCCAGCCCCAGCCCCCAGCCCCCAGCCCCAGAGAGGGAGAGAGAGAGAGAGGTTTTCCCCTCTTAGGAAG